ATATATATATATATATACACACACACAGTAATCTCTTAATGAGCTTTCCACAGACCACATAATTTGTCAAATAACAATCTTTGATTACGATTTGAAGACAAATTAAAAATTTGTTGGTTTATGCTAGCAAATTATCAGAAAATAAAAATGAAATTATAGTACAAAAAAATGACTTTATGTAAATCATTTAATATTTGAATGAAAGCTGTTGGATGCAACTAGAAAAAAGAGTGGATGAGTCGTTATTGTGCTGTGGGACGAAGAAAACGGCCTATTTGGTTTTATCCTGGTCCACTTAAGCTTTGCCAAGTCACGACGACAATTGTAACAATGTCTTTTTCCTATGAAGTGCATGGTTTTTAGGATGCCACGTCCATCATTCTTGAATTTTTTTAAAACCAAATAAAAAATAAAAAAGTAATCTAAAAGTATTTTTTGTAATTTATTAAACAACCACAAAATGTATTTTAGAAATAAAATGAAGGGTGTGTCTTTTCCACAATCATGAATCACAAAAATATACTAATATTTGAAATGAAATATTAGAATGTCGTAATTGAAAACAAAAAACAGAAATAAAACACCATACTAAATAAAAACATATTGTTATTTTTTATTAAACCCAATAATGAGTACACATAGATATATATATCTTAGTAATGTTTTTTAAGGATTGTAGATTAACCATGGTGTTTAATAAAACAAATATCTTACTATGATATTTTATTGTATAAAACATTTTATTATTTAAAAATGTAGAACAATATTTAAACATTATTCAAGGGATAAATATGACTAGGTGATACATATCCATGCTGTTTGCAGAGAACAAAATCTTAGCTAAAAAATGGGAGACTTTTGGCAGATTGGTTGTGGAGGTCATGGGCTTGATTGTGACTCTCTCAAGCTGTTAAACAGTGAAGCTTGACAAAATATGTTGACCAATTAAACTTTATATAAAATTACCTTTGATTTAATTGATTAAAATTTTTATCGTTTTAAGCTTTTAATTAAAATAGTTAAGTAATTGTTTTTATCTTTATTCATACACAACATTTTTTATCCATACACAATAATTTATGTATTGAAATATTATATTGTATAACTCTATAAAACATAAATTATTTGTATGAAAAAAAATTGTTTTGTACGTATCATTTTCTTTTTATAAATTTTATTTCACAAAAAATGTTACAATCACTCATTATTTCTTTTTTATCAAACACTCTTTTAATTCATTTAAAAGTAAGATTCAAACTAATATGATTAAATATAAGTATTTATATGTAGCCGTGTGACAAAGGATAGTATAAATAAGCTCAAAGAGTTTAATATAAAAGAATATGATTTTATATGTAACTTCAATCAGGGCCGACCTTCAGGGTGTGCAGCTGCATACGATCCTGAAAAACATACGCCCCGAAATTTTGTGAAATTATTTTATTTGATATTTGATAACTTTTATATTTCATATTATTCAATCTTAGAGGTAAAAACTGTTTGGTTTAGCCGGTTGAATACTATATAGTATATACCATCGTTGTCAAAATCGTGATCCTGATCGTAGGATCGTACGATCCTAGGTATGAAAAACGATCCGGATCGTAAAAGGATCGTATTTTGGGTAGGATCGCAGGTAGGATCGTAGGATCGAGATCTGATCCGATCCTACCTTCCTTTATTTTTTTTTTATTATTTTTTTTTGCAAATGAATTTTTTTTACCACTTTATGTCTTTTACCCTTTACAAATCTATCATTTATCATTTTTTATTGTGATTTATCACTAATATTTTGAAGTTTTTATAATTTTTGAACTAAAAATTAAATGTTTGAAATATTTTTAATGATTAAATATTATAAATTAAAATTATATTATATTTTGTGGGATTTTAGAATCTCGATCCCGATCTTGCAAACCAAAAAACGATCTTAGATAAGATCCCGATCTTGACAATATTACTATATACTCCACTCACCTTTCCTGTTCTTATCACGGATGATGTAGGTTCGATTCCTCCGGAAAACAGTTGCTTAATTTAAATAGATTTTTAGTCACCTTACACTTTCAGCCCTTCATTTATCTTTCATATTTTACAATCTCTCACACCATCCAATTTCTTTACAAAATCAGTTTTTAGAAATAAATATTTATCCCCTCAATTTTAGAAAAATGGCATTTGTCTTTTTTTTTTTTTTTTTTTTTTAACTAATTTAACGTTACTGTTTAGACAATTTACCACCTTTTATATATATATATATATATATATATATATATATATATATATATATATATATATATATATATAATAATAATAATAATAATAATAATAATAATAATAATAATAAAAGAATAGTTTACTTTCCTTTTGATATGTGTCATCTTATTAAGACTTCTAATTAATGCATATTTTATTCTTATTTTGACATGTGTTATCATATATATCTCCTAATTAATACATAACATTTATATACCTATTAATTCTCCATTTCAAATTTTAAAATTTAAATTTTTCACTCTAATTATGTTAAATTAATAACATTAGAATAAAAACTAAAATAAACTTAATACACATTATAAAGTGATATAATTTCAAACATTTATTTAAATCAATGATTAAAATTTATATAACTAAAAAAATACTCTTAATTAATAATTTATTTAATATAATTGATTAATACTTTTTAGTTTTTATTTTAAAAGTTAAATTAATTGTATACTGTGGTTCCCACGGGTTATAAACTAATATATATATATATATATATATATATATATATATATATATATATATATATATATATATATATATATATATATATATATTTGTTATGATTTGCACATGGCTTTCAAAATCAATGAACCGACTTCAATTTAAATTGATAAATAAAATATATTATGTTTGACACCTTAATGTTTTATATTTATATACGAATAAAATTGAATATACTTTTCGATTTACTTTTACTTTTACTTTTACTTTTACCTTTTAGTAAAAATTAAAAATAAAAATAAAAATAATATTAAATTGAAAGTATATTCATAAGTAATATTGTTTATTACTTTTCAAAAACTATCCTTTTGAGTACACTCAAACATTGGACATGCATGCAAATCAAAGTCATCAATAAAATGTATCTTCGTGTCTATTTGGATCCAAGGTTGTTAAAACCACGATTTGTATCGTAAGATCATACGGTCTTACGACTCTAGATATGAAAAATGAAGTTAGATCGTATTTAGGGTAAGATCGTAGAATTGGGATCTGATCCGATCTCACCCTCTCATTGATTATATATATATATATATATATATATATATATATATATATATATATATATATATATATATATATACAAAAAAAATAATTATTATAAATTAATAAATTTACCACTTTACCACTTTACGATTTTTTACTCTTTACGTGTTTAGCATTTACCTTTTTTTGTTGTGACTAATGTTTAGAAGTTTTTATATGTTTTGAAGGAAAACTGAATATTAAAGATATTTTACATGTTTTAAACTTATAACTTTAAATTATGTTTTTTTATGGGAACTTAGAATTCTGATTTCGATCTTCTAAACCTAAAAACGAACTAATATAGGATTACAATCTTGACAACATTGTTTGGATCTATTGTTTTTCCAAAACAATTGTTGTTTGGGTAAAAAAGATAATCGTAGATGACATGATCGTCGGAAACTGATTAAATCAATAATCTTCGGGTAATTTTGAATTCGATAAAAATGTTCAATTGTAAAGTTGTTCAAAAAAACATTTACTAACTAAATGTATACATGAGTTAAAGTTCATTAACTTCACAAGTTATTAACCCTTATTAATAATATCATATTAATATCATTTCCACATTGAGTATTTATTTTCAACTTGTCAAAAATAAATGTTTTTATTGTAAAATATATAAAGATTAGATGATAGATTTTTTTAACCGATAAATATATTAAAAACTAACACCCGCCCAACAAGAAACTAGACGGGATAGAGAAAGGAAACAAAGTACAAAAGTTTTTAAAAAAGACAAGTTACAAATTACATTCAAATGAATGGACAATCAGACCATTCATTCCAGTTATATTTGCACTTCGTCTTTTGATGTTTAATCCATGTAAGGACCTGTGATTTTATGTTATCATCCACATTGGTCGGATTAATATGATTTTCTTTGAAGGTCCGGTCACACCTTGCCTTCCAAATCCACCATAATGTTCAATAACAGATGGTAATCAATGTATTTCTCTTCCTTTGACAAACAGACCCATCCTTAACGAAATCAATTATATCAAGGACTGATGTAAACTGAGGTGGCGTTGGAATATCACACCATCTAAGGATACAATCACACACTATTGAAGCAAAAGGGCATCTAATGAGGACATGAGTCGCATCCTCCTCTTCAGAGTTATAATAGGTACAAGAAGAAGATCCTTGAATTGATTCTCTTTTTCTCAACTCCCGAAGGGTTGGAATTCTCCCCTGATATGCACACCATATGAAGCATAGAACTTTTATAGTCACCTCTCCAATCCAGTCAATATTGCTTAATGAGACCGCGAATGTTGGTTTGTCGATCATTCTCCTAAGTATATCGACATGGTAAATGTCATCCAATGATATGCCACACTTCCATCTATCCATCGTCATCGAAGGTTGAAAGTTTCTTATCAGAGAGGATAAAGCATGTAACTCGTGTACCTGTCAGCCGAAGATGGGGTTGATTTGCAGTTCCAAGTGTGATGACCAATTTGGATTCTATCAGCAACTTTACACGATTTCTATCTCTCCAAATGATATAACTCCAGGAAGGCTAGTTTTATGGGGTTGTGGCCCTATCCACTGATCAAGCCAAAATAGAGTATTATCCCTTTTACCTGTCTGTTTCACCATTATTTCATCCATATCAATACTCAATTCTTTGAGATCTTCTTTGATTCCAGCTACATTGTTCCACGTCCCTGTAATGACGGTTTTTGAGATTATATTCGATGGTGTATTTTCGTAAGTTATGTAACTATTACTTGGAAGCACTTTTATGATGTTAACCCTCTTACATGTTATCAAACATTTAATAATAGTACTTCTATTTTTCTACAAAGTTGTTACCTATTGAGTTTAAAATTAATTGACAAAACGATGATGTATAAAATTCCGTGACATTTAGTGATCTAATTATGTATTAACCTCCTTTGACTCGATTGAAATAAAATGAATTTGATTTTTCAAGAGTTATGTTGGGTTATGTTATATAAAATGCAATGATAATGAAAAACGCCTTGAAGAATCTTCAAGGGAAAAAAAAAAAAGATCCATCTCCAGGGAGTCCAGTTCCCTAACAAAGCCCAAACATCAAAGAAATTATCCAACTTCTGTAATAAGCTTTCGTCGTGTTCGTCTGTTTTAGGGTTTCCTGGTATCGTTTTGGGTAGATTTCGCTTCTTTCATTCAAATCCTTCAAGGTAAATACTTTTCGTAGCTGTTATATGTTAAATTTCCTTCAACTTTATAACCAAACTTGTGAATTAATGCCCTTAAAACGCTGTTCTCCTCATCCGCACCGAAAACAATTGAAATTGAGTTGTTTGACTTTGTTTTTGTTGTATATGACGCAAATTGCTCTTTTGATGTTTGTCTTGATCAAATTGTTGGTGTTTGTTCCTGATTAACACTTAAATTTGTTTAATTTTGGGTTATTGCTTTATGTTCGCACTCAGGAACAGTGCTATTGATACATTTCTATGCTGATTCCAGCTAACGAATCAGTAATTGATTAGCTTAAAGCGAGAATGTCAAAACATGAAAGAAATCGGATAAACCGAGTGCATCATCTGTCCCCAGATCATAACTGGTTACTAATCGAAACTATAAATAACAAGTTCTTGCGTCTTCTTCACTTTCCTCTTTCTCAATCATAATCATTAGTTTGTTCTCCATTGTAGCCTTCGTTCCTATCTTCAGAAAATCTGCTTTGGTGAAAAAAAAAAGCCCAAATTGTCTCTCGTGTATCCTAATTTCTGAATCCCTACGAATTTGAGTTCAAATATTCAAAGATATCCTTTCATCTTTTTTCAGGTATAACAAAATGTCTGGAAGGAATCGAATGCCACGGGGCCCACGTGAGGGCCCAATACACCGGGCCCACGGCCCCCTCCCTCCTCACCCTGCTGCTCTTGAAGAAGAACTTGAACTCCAACATCGAGACATTCAAAGAATCATGGCTGAAAATGGACATGTAGTAGAAGAAAATGTGAGTCTTCAAAGGGAATTAACTGCTGTGAAAGATGAGATGCATAGATTAGGTCAAATCATCCCCAAATTACATGCTGAAAAAGATGCAAGAGCCAGGGATTTAATTGACAGAGGAATGAAACTCGAGGCTGAGCTTCGTGACACTGAGCCTTTAATGGCAGATGTAGGACAATTAAGAAGTGAATTCCAGAAATTGACTTCATTAAGGCAAGAATTGTCTAGTCAAATTCAAGGTTTGACCAAAGATACAAGTAGATTGAAGGCTGAAAATGAACAGGTGGTTGGACTTAAGACTGATATTGATGGTATGCATAAAGACCTTGTGGATATGAGGTATGAATTTGTACTTTGATGTATTCAAAATTGTTTTTTTATTTTGAGATTTATTTAAATATGTATTGTGTATAGGAGAGATTATGAAATGATGAAGAAAACAAATGAAGAACATGTGATTCAAAAGGAAGCAATGGAAAAGAATCTTATTTCAATGGCTCGTGAAATTGAGAAGCTTAGAGGAGAGCAAATGAGGGCACGTGGACTTGGTACATTTTCTTTCTCTCACACACACACACATTATTGTTTGTCTTGTGAATGTGGGAATGTCTAAAACACCCTTGGTTAAGTTTAATGTGATTAACTAGAAATTTTATATGAATGAAGGTGGTGGAGGATATGAAATGTTAAATGGAAACCCTAATATGAGGTATCATTCAGGTGGTGGATATGGTGGTGGTGGTGGTTGGGGATCTTATGACCACCGAGGACCACCGCGTTATTGATAACAACATCCTGGGTACTACCTCATTGACATTTCTTGCCAGCTGGACATAAAGGGTATGTATGGATTGATGCCAAATTTACATTTTATCTTATGTGTAAATATAAAATGTAATTTCATCTTTATGCATGTTTATGGATAATTGCTTGTGTTTATTTTAGAGTAAATTCTATATTTCGTCTTTCTGCTATGTCAAAAGTTACCAATGATATAAGAATGAAAAATACACAATATATAATATGCAATGAATGATTTGCACCAATAACTAACCCGAGGTTATAAAATCTCTAAGAGAGAAGCATGACTCTAGGTGAGACATGTATGAATTGTAAGTCTATCAATCATGTGGAGGGATGTTTAATGTATGAATTGTGCACTACTAATGAGATCTTTATGTTCCATGTATGACTTGATACCATTGTTTCACCAAGTAATGACATGGCTAACTAATAGCATCTAGTTGCTCGACAACCACATGCACCATGCCTATCGGTGTCCATCCACACTAAAATCAACTCTTAAACGCCTTTGCAAAACTCTTTATATTCATTTAAAGACACCAAAAGTCGTACAATAATAATCAGGATGCGATTCGATATAGAACATATGATGCATAAGTAGTAGAAAGTAAGAAGTATACATTTTTAGGGGAAGTTTGTTTAGAAAGCATTATGTACACACCTTGAAAAATACCCCAAAATCCTTCTATTAACTTGCAAGGGCTTTTGGTGACTTATGGCATTAAAACATACACTTTCAATGGCATAAATATCTAATAAAATGTATAAATCACCAAAACACTCAATATATACGCTAATGATCACGATTTAGTAGAAGAAGATCAACACTAGGGGTTATAGAGACAAATTTCTTACTACTAAATTGTGTGATTTCACTCGCCAATCGCACAACAATTGAGTTGCCCAAGGTTTCCGAAGCAAACTCCAAGAAAGAATTGGTCATTCTTCCTTTTGAACCATATAATTCACAAAACTCTCCTTCTATCCTCTCTCCTCAATAGATCACAACAAAAGAACGCTAGATAGTTTCTATTCAACATTTATACTTTTCTCCTACCAAGGAAATAATTACATTACCAATGCCTTATTCCCATAAGAATAGGCAAAGAGAGGTAAGAAGTAAGCAGATTGTGTTGGTAGTTTTAGTGTTATCAATATATTTTAGTGTAGTTATTATTAATATTAAGATAGACTAATTTATATTTATTCATAGAGTCTGGAGGTACGAGGTGCATACTCGGAGTGATAAATGTGAACTCAGAATATGGGGGTCCAAGAACAGCACCCCTAGTGGGGTCTAAGAGACAGTGTTACATCATGATGTCATATGATAGTTATGTCTTATGACTAACCCGTTTTTGGCACCAAAATATATGTAACCTCCATTTACCAACTTATAACCGATTTCTTACATCTGTATAAAGATGATGATTGTTTTAAAATCGGGTTGATCATTCATACACTCGAAAATCATACTTCCGATTCTCTCTATCTCATCAAGAACACAAAACAACTAGGTATTATTATGTGTTTCAAATTTCGAAGTGACTTGACTTTTAAAATGATTTTCTCGGATTATCTCAAATCAAATTTCGTGATACTCCAAACATATTAAGTTGAAATCACATATTTTGAAAATGATTGCAATCAAGATCCTAAAAACTATCCAAATAAATATTGATATTTTAAAGACCGCTAGATCTAAGAGGCTGCTAATGAAAATTCCACCCGGAATGAATAAAAAAACTAGGGCGTGTGACGATAGGAAAAGATAAATACAAACATTACAACTGAAAAGTACATAGAATTAAACATAATGCCTTAAGTATGTAAATAATGAATGAATACACATATAACATAAGAATATTCTAGCACTAAATTAGGAAACAAATGCTATCGAAACAAGCCGAAAGTTAATGAGAGACAAGAGTAAGATGGTAAAGATTGCACATGATCCATAAATGGTGGAAACTAATTAAGCTAGTTCCTAGATAACTAGATCTCAATTTTGATTTTGTATATTTCAAATTTATGTTCGATTTTAATGATTAAGTTTGATAAATTATGTTTGTTGTGGATCGAAGACGAAGGAGATGAAGAAATCGACACAATACGGAAAAAGTGGTCATTACGCTTTAGGAACCATCAATTCAACAAATCAAACTGTGGGAGTAAATCCATATTTTATTTTACATATCATGATAAACATTGAACGTTAAATACCATATAAAATGCTGAAGAACAATAAAATAAAAGGACTAATTAATAATGATCTCTTGAACTCCAACACTTAGGAGTTAATTAGTTATGGGACATGAATCGGGTACCTATCGATACAATCGAACCAAGGCCCATCCATTGAATTTGTTATGTTCCTGTTACACATCCAAACAGCACTATTGCATTTAAATCCACTCCCTAAAGCTATTTGCCAAATCCTATCTCCTTCCTTCATCATCCCTTTAGCTTCCAAGTAACTAAGCTCATACCACAAAGAAGACGACGACGTATTCCCAAACCTATGCAATGTCATCCTTGATGGCTCCATGTCTTGCCACGTCAGCCCTAATTCTGTCTGCATGTTGTTTATCACACCCCGACCACCCGCATGCACACAAAAATGCTTGAACACCCGCTTGAAATTAGGCACGTAAGGTTTTGTGTCCTTACGCTTAGACACAACTTTCTTGATTACATTCTTAAGAAAAAAAAACACTTCTGTTAAAGGAAGGACTTGAAGGGCAAATGCATGGATATTTGCTTTCAAAGCTTGACGAGCTATGTTGGGCAAGTCTTTGGAAAGCGAAATACCTATTTTACCCTCTGAATCCTCCATTTCATGGATACACTTATACGCTTTATCAAATGAGCCTATGTGGGTTCGAACCACGTGAAGTAAACGATACTTTGATTGCTTGCGAAAACATTTTTTGTTGGACAACAAAACACTCGCACCACCCATGCGGAAGAGGCAGTTTGGTAGAAGCATGGAACGATCTTTTCCGGTGTAGTAAAACAGTGTTATAATCTCGGTGGTGATAATAACAGCGTTTGAATTCTTATGAATTTTAAGAAGATCACGAGCTAGATTAACAGATATCAATCCAGCACTACACCCCATGCCAGAAAGATTAAACGTTTTTACATCTTCTCTCATGTTATATCTTCTCATGATCATGCTTGTTAAAGAAGGAACAGGCGCAAAAACACTAGTGTTTACGACAAGAAAGTCGACCTCCTGTGGGTTTAACTCCATTTTTTTAAAAAGCGAATCAAGGGATGAGTAAATGACGATTTCGGCCTCGTTTCTTGAAGCTTCAATGGAGGGAGTTGGAGGGAGACTGTGCATCGCTGGGGGTAAATACGTCTCGTCGCCTAAACCTGATCGAGCCAAGACTTTCATTTGGAAGTCGACACTTTCGGGGTGGGAACTTAGGTTGATACGGGAGTGCCTTAAGAAGGCGTCGGAGGGTGATTGTAAACTTTTTGGGGGGTTGCAACAAGCGTAATCCACCAAGTAAATTGAAGGGTGTTTGGAGATAAAAGATAGAATGAAGAACGTGATGATGACGATGATGATGGAGAGTGAAAGAATGAGAATGGGTTTCATGGCATCATCGGCATAAAGAGTTTTGAAGAATGAAAGAAAGATGTCCAGCGTCATGATTTGTGATTCGAGTGTGGGACGATTGTAAAACTGCTGATGGAAGCTTGGATTTAAAGAAGAGGATGAAGATTATGGAATACATAAGGTGGTTGAGTATATACCAAATGTGCCAATAATTACAAAATAGAAGTATCTTTTATAGTGATCCGAGCCCATTTTAACTCATTATGTTATTATATATTCATACAAATACCAACATGTTTTGAAAAAATATTGTTACATTTTTAGTCCTGGATCTTTCCTTTTTGTTCCATAATCTACCCAAAATCTATTTCTTTTATTGTTTGATTAATATTTTAAGACACAACTACAAAAATAGTCTCCGTGGTTAGTTGAAAGTTATATTTTTGTTTAAAAAGTGATCTATATTGTTACATATTTTTTAATGAGAATTTTATAGAAAGTTTGGTCCAATATAATGAGATTTTACAATTACTTTTTCATTTTCTTAATTTATTTTTATTGTAAAAATAAGGAAAAAAAGGAAAAAGGAAATATACACCCAACCCATCCTCTCTCTCTCTCTCTCTCTCTCTCTCTATATATATATATATATATATATATATATATATATATATATATATATATATATATATATATATATATATATATATATATATATACCACTTTTATTATCATTTTTTGTTTAGAACAATGAGTTAATGATACGTTCTCTTCCTAGGTTACTGAGAATTATTAGTATAAGTGTTTTAATCACGATTTGTTCTCCTGTTATAGTATATTGTATGATCCTCCCTGTTTCTCTTCATAGTATGTTCCTCCTTGTTTCTCTTTATAGTATGTTCCTCCCTGACCTAGTTATAGTATGTACTGAACCCCTAAACTATACATATTATAGTCTACTAGTATGTTTACTTGAACTGATACTGATTTGAATAAAAGACTCATTTATCTACTGAGTTATGATTGTACTTTAAAAATGGTGTTTTAACTTTAAAAGAGTTTTTGAAATAGTTTTAATCACCTTATAAAGCGTAAGAAACCCTTTGAATATGATAGTTATCACAAATAACATTTACACAATTATCATTGTGTTCAACTTGTATTCCCCCCTTAAAAGCATTTAAAACATTTAAAAGATTGATTATAGAGGTATGAACTCACTTCGTAAGAGTGAATCGGACAACGTTTCGTTTCTAGGTTTCTTGACGTAATCGTGGGATTTCTGGTGAAGAAACGAGCTTCACACGGGCAGCACTTCGATTGGAAAGACGCAAGTTTCTCGGGAACTTCGGGACTTCAGGCTTCCGTCAGGGCTTGGACACGTAACCAGGGCATCGGGGTAGTCTCGGGATGCTTAACACAGAGTAAAAGTAGAAAGGGAAGTATAGTTGAGCAACCTAAACCCGAGACCTTCAGTTTCTATTTATAGGGAGTGATTTTGGAGCTCACGTCGTGAGCATGGAGTGACTCACGGCGTGAGGTCGATCCTATCCACCTGCTGACTCGACTTCTGACAGTCCAACGCTGGAAATCCTATCCATCCCTGGCTCATGTCGTGAGTCCACTGATAGTGTGGGGATTCCTGTCCCGAACTTCAGAAATTCATATCTCTCGCATACGAGCTCCGATTTTGACGTTATTTATATCTATGCGTATGTGAGATTATGCTCTACAAATTTCGTTTAAACTCCGTCCGCTAAATTTGACTTTATTTT